AATAAAGGTCATAAAAGGTATTTTCAGCAGTGCTGGAGTTTAACACAGTCTGGTGGGTAACTGACGGAGAGCAGGCAGTTTGTTTACTGATGATCGGGGAACTGAGAGTAGGTGCGTTCGCAACAAGGTGCACAGGTGAGGGTGGGGGTCAGGTGATGACGATGAGACATAAAGCGAGGACCACTGCAGGACATGAGAGGAACTACAGGGTTTGAAATTACCCAGAGGGCAACAAATAACAGGGGTTAAAAGGCGTCTGCGTGAAATTAGAAGGAATTTTGTTTTGAGCACATCTTTGCTGCTTCCATTTAGTTTTCTAAAACTACAAATGAGGCTTTTTTCTAATTACATTTACAGATTACATCAAAGTTTAAACCTCAGAATAACATGCATAAAATTTTAAATTATAATTTAAACCATATTACATAGATTCATATTGTGCCTCTGGTGTTTGAACTGTGACACTTTTACTTTGAAATGGACAAAAATATCTCCTGAGTTATTTTAAATTCTGAGGCTACTTCTTTTATTTTTGTTTCAGTAAAATGAACATAAACAGAAGCAGCTTCAAATGAAACAAACTGAATCTACAACTGTTCCTCCTGTGAAATATATCATGCACAACTGAAACAAGTGTTAAAACCATCGACGTATTGAATATCTCAGGAATGTTCTATACACTGTGTGTATCAGTCATGACAGCCACACACAGACACAATTTTGTTCATTTTCTCCCCCCCCCCCCCCGTGATGTGACTATGACAACAAAGAGGGTTAAACCGCACCGTGCAGTGGGCGACTGACCCTTTCACAGGCGTGTCTCTTTTGACCACTTAGCACCACACACTCTGTGTCTGGATCCAGATCAACATAAATCTTGTGCTGTTGCTTCTGAACAGTTTGGGGTCGACATATTAACAAAGTCAGATGTGCAGCAACCTTAGAAACAAGGCAACTGCAAATTAATCACAGCTCATTCCCACTGCACGGGGCGATTTTAGTTGTTTCAAGAGAACAAGTCAGTTGCTATTATTTATTATTATTTCAAGAGTTCTGGTATTATAAATAATTCTACTTGACAATAGACTGACAGTCAGATTTTATTAGCACAAACACAACAGCACAATACTATTAATATATATAAATCGAAGGTGATTGAAAGAGCCATGAAGTCAAAGGTTTATACAAAAGTAAAAAGACAAATTAGTCAGAATCCAGAACTAATTAGACATATGTATACACACATACATACACACACACACACACACACACACACACACACACACACACACACACATACATTTAAATCATCAGCATTATCAGTAATACACAGACACACTGGGGCTTGTTTGAGAAGCTGCACCATTTGTCCAGTGCAGTTAAATTACTATACTTTCCTAAATAATATGTGTCAAATATATATTACATTCTGGTACATCACAATTTTAATGTTTTATAAAGTCACAATTGCCATTCCACACAAGCATTGTTTCCCTCTGGGGCGATAGAGGAATCAGAAAATGTTCAGGAGCAATTTGCTCATCTCAATTTGGGCGACTCTACACAAGCACAAGTCTCAGCAGAGACTCTTTTCCATTTAGCTGCTCCTCGTGTCATACTCAGCTGAATGACCACATAAAACCAATTGAAATTCATTTGCTCGAGGGCTGTTTGAGAGAATTACTATTACAACAGGAGCCGGAGAGAGAGAGAGAGAGAGAGGTAGTTATCTCCAACAAATTGTTGACAGTGAATGTGAAATGAAAGCCACTGACAGTGTTTTCCTGTGAGGATCAAATTGGACAGGAAAGGAAACACGAGGCAGACGTCACTTTATTTTTGATCTACTAAAAATATGCATCTCTATCTGGAGGTAACAACTCCCTCTGGCTTTGGTTTCATTTCACTTCTATACGCTCACAAACACAATCAGTCTTACATAAACAGCATGTCCAAACGTTTGTCACATTATTGACTTCGGTGCCTAATTTGCACAGTTTAGGAAGAAGCACATTGGCAAAGTAAGATTTAAAGTGCACACAAATAAATGTCGGAATGAACTGAAATTGAAACAATGAACTATATATATATATATAAGTTTTTAACAAGTCAGTGGAGCTTTGAGTTAAATTGTTTGAGTCGAGCTTCACTGAACTTTGAACAAACAGGTGAACGGCTCTTTGTGCAGCAGCGGTGGAGCAGCTTCAGATTTCCGTGGACACAGCAGCCGGTCTTTATTTGCTGCAGCTCAATTACTGCAGGTTACTTTTACAATCAATTTCAGAAAGAAAAACTGCGGCCAGCTTGAGAGAACATGTGAGTTTTCAGTTTAACCTTAAACACATCGACAGATTGTAAAAGGTTCCAAATCTTTGGAGCGGAAACAGTAAACGCCACAAACGACATGTGTACGTATGTGACAGCTTGGGAGTGAACCTGCCCTCATCGTGGTTAGAAGGAAACCCCGTCCGATCACGTGCTGTGAGTTACCTCATATCCAACATGTCAACACATCAAGAGGTTCCTTCTACTCCCTGTCTGCGCGGATACTCACCACTTAAAAGCCTGTAGAATAAATATCTCTCTCCCTCTCTCCTGAACTCCCCGTGGTGTTTTCTTTAACAGGACTAAAATAGAGGCTTCTCTCCATCCCTTAGATTTACATACGACAGCGAGCAGGTGACATGCTTCATTTTCACTTCAAGATTAAACATTTGCCGCACTCCTGCCGATGAGACGTCTGCACAGAAGTGAAGCCAGCGGAGGCTCTTTATTGATGTTGTAATCAGCCTTTCAGGAGAGAGTCTCTTTGGGAACCACTTTCGATTTAACAAGTCTCCTATGGGGCTGTGAAGGAGGGAATGGGCTCCAGCGAACACACTGTCACCTGAGGATAATTGGGGACGTGGAAGAGAGGGTACAAAAGAAAAGAGCAGTAACACATCCGGGGGAGGAGGAAGATTCCCAACTTCTGAGTTAGAGGGTAAATGTGGAGTGGGCGATGAACTCATGCAAACTTGAATGTGAGCACATACTGTGTGCTACACGACGGTGAAATTATTCCACTGATGCTTTTTTTGGGTTAAGCACAGGAGAAGGTGCCTTAGGAGCCCACAACAATAGTTAGAGGAGTATTGTCACAAAGCCACTATGGGGAGGCTAATGCATAAGTGAGTGAAACATAGACTGTATCTAAAGATGGATGACGCGTGTCAACTTCCTGCCACTGTGCAGAACTTGAGCGGATGTTTATAGCATCAAATAAGTAATCACAACCAAACTCAATGGAAAATTTGCACATGAACATACATCTGTGTGTTAACAGCCTCCTAAAATGACTTTCTATCTTTGAGAAGAATGTATTTGAGTGTAGTTCATCCATGTCCCCATCCACTAACATGGAGGAGGGGGAGTTTATGAGCCAGCCACCAGGGAGCTGGTAC